CAAAGTTTCACAAAAATCTCAGTGCAGGTTCTATTTCAGTGGAATGACCTTAAAGGAGCTCAATCACGGTATTTTGAGCTATTTTGACCACGTACAAAATTGCCTTTAAATTGAAGGAAACTTGAAAATGGTAGTTTACTAAGATAGAAAAACATCAAACAGATGATAATAAACCATAAAGGAGCAAGGATGGTTAAGAATGGAGAAGATTAACACGGATTACAAACGACGAACTTGAAAAAGTTAGGCTCAACTTTTCAAGATGTGCAAACCTTGACGTAACTCCTTTAAGCATAAGCAAGTTCTGAATAGTCTTATTGTTAACCTTTAGGCTTACGAAGGTTTCAAAGCATATCTATATTAACGCGCGATTTTTTTTGTAGGTAACTTGGTATACTCGGCGCCGACAAGTGCAGGAAAGACAATGGTTGCAGAGCTGCTGATGTTAAAACGAGTGTTAGAGACAAAGAGGAAAGCGCTCTTCATTCTGCCTTTTATCAGCGTGGCGCGTGAGAAAATGTTTTATCTCCAGGTACGTAAAATTTGTACACGCTGGAAGAAATTTGGATAAGGACGAGTTAAACTGACGCTAGAATTTCGGACGATCTACTGAGACTGGGATTTTGATTAGAGAACGCTCTGTATATACATGTACATGGAGTCTTAATCTTCTTTAGACCACTTTACCCTTTTTTTTTATTTGAGAATTAAATTCTTCTTGTCTTCGAGTCTGTTTACTGATTAGGAATATTACCTATTAACGGGTTTTTCCTTAACTCCTTCTTTCAGCAGCAAACCAGCATATGTACAAACCATCTTTATACAACAGTCTTAACTAAATAATGCAACCTTTCCAGATAAAGAGAAAGAGAGTTCGTAGATAGTAACATAGATAGTGGGCAGCCTTAGCCTTATCATTTTCTCAATGTTCCTATGCCTCTTTTAAATTGTTGTGACTAATTGCAAGTGAACATAGAATATGTTAAATTTGAACTGCAGAGAAAGATGTAAAGACATGGATGAGCAATGCAGTGGTGTAGACAAGTGCTAACTGCTTTGCATAACTGCAAGGATCTATCATGTCTTTACGTCTTTCTACGCAGTTTAATTTTATATCTTTCATATGTTCACTTCCATTCTACACCATCCACGGGTATATTACGAACTCACAACTGACGTGGCCAGCTCCAAGTTGGTTTGTTAGCTCAGTTAGTAGAGCACTGCACCAGGGTTCGAATCCCGTTCAAGCTCACTTTTTGTTAGTTCGTAATCACCGTTTACAGGTTTCTTTGTCGTTTTGTTTCCCAGCGTCTATACCAAGAGGCAGGGGTGCGAGTAGAGGGGTACATGGGCAGCCACGCCCCACCCGGGGGCTTTGTTTCTGTTGACATTGCAGTGTGCACGATAGAGAAAGCCAACAGTCTGCTTAATCGTCTGCTGGAGGAGAATAAAGCTCTGTCTTCTTTGGGAATTGTAGTCGTGGATGAAATGCACATGATTGGCGATTCACACAGAGGATATTTACTGGAACTGTTTTTGACCAAAATACGATACATCGCTGGCTACAAGGGAGGAAACAGTAATGTGGGTAAGTTTGCGATTATTTTAGGCTGAAAATCGAGCCCACGATTATTTACGCAATAGTGATAAACAAGATTCATTATATCCTCGTGACGGATCAGTGACGTGTGTGGTAGTAGCACAGACGCAACATTGCTCGTTTTGTAAAGTCTTTTATAAAGACCTCACTGAATGTTTATTGTACAATAAATTATTCCACGAGCGCGCGTTGGATGTGAGATGGAAGATAGCCAACGAGGTGCGTAGCGCCAAGTTGGCTATAATCATCTCTCATCCAGCAAGCGTGAGTGGAATAACTGTTTTATTAAAGACGCCCCCCAAATATAGAAAATTAAAATGATATGAAAATAAAAACGTCCCCAAAAAATTACCCATACACTTACCATGTACCATATTTGTAGAGCATGGTATAATGGCTCATATATCATGGTATAATGGCTCATATACCATGATGGCTAAGGCGATGAAAACTCTTTAATTGGATTATCCAATGATCCCGTTTGTAATAAGGGACCGTTCATTTTTTATCAGGTAGGCGGGGCTGGTGGGATTTGGGGGGGGGG